ATCTGCATTTCATTGGAATCAAAAGGCATGTTAAGAGTCTCGTTATGTTCAGAAAGTTTAATATTTAGCAGATATCATTTTATTGAATGCAGCCAGCAGTGCTTGAGCAAATTCATTTTGCAGTTCGATTGCATCGCTTTAGAACTGATGGGATTTGACCTACACTAGCCGTCACACCAAATCATATAGCATTTCGACTGAGAAAGCAATAGTTGATGATTGTAATGAATGAATCGAACAACGCCTACCTATATCAGGCGTATTAAGACAGTTCTGTATGAGCGTTTTTCCAGCTTCTGATGAGATCATTGGTTGTAATTTCTTCGTAGCGAATGTGTACACATGACCTGTCTCAGAGGCCACCAGCAGCATAACTTGAGTGCCTGTCAACGTTGACAGCTCATAAGCCTGAAGTTCACCAAATCAATTCGAATAGCTGTCTTGAACTTTAAATAAAATTATATCATCCACCCAAGGTATTCGGTGCTGTGTTCAGGTGACAATTCTCTCAGTGAATGACGTATAGAACAGTGAAATGAAATCCTTTCACAGACACTTTATTACACATCATTTTGTTTATTCTCATCTATTGTCAGCCTTTTACGTACACATTAGCTGCTTTCAGAAAAACCTCANTGTTTATTCTCATCTATTGTCAGCCTTTTACGTACACATTAGCTGCTTTCAGAAAAACCTCACATCAGCATTTCGTTCAGCCAAAATCACTCACTGTCGAAAGGAAATGCAGAGCTGCAGAGCAATTTGAGCATCGAAAGAAAAATATTTGATGGGACACTGCCACATAACTCGAGTACTGCAGAAGTTGAAATTTTGAAATGACATTAGCAAAATATTCTTAATGAGGAACGCATTCCGACGAATGTTGGCATTCGGGGATTTCACAATATCTGTTGTACTCTTAATAACGAATATGAATGCTCATGCATACTTTTTTCATAATTCCCGTTTTACGTTTACTGAACGTTGTGTACCGCCTGAGCTTATTCCCAATATATTCCATTTTAATCTTGACTCGACCTGAAATTTTTCACAGTTGACCTTACGTCAAAGAAAAATTGTCGCTGTAAGAATCTCAAACGAAAATTTGTTGTATGGACGAACGAAGGAATCGATTCGGTAATTAATCGTGTTTAGGTGAATCGATATGGAAGCAGAGCGAACAATACCT